TGAACAGTTGCCATTTCAATAAAGCATTTAATCCAAAAAACTCCAAATTAAGAATGGCACGTTATCCTTATTTCACCTCAGACTTTATTAGCACATCCAAAAACAGCAGTACAAAAAGTATAACCATAAGACATCTAAGCATTCATACTGCAATTTGTTTTTGAACAGGTCACAACTTTTCATTATATGCCATATTAATAGAAGTATGTCCAGCATTCTTAGGAGGACTGGCTTACAAACTCCTACTTCTTAGAATTTATCTAAGAACTGGTAGGTAAGATCAGCAGGTCTATCAGCACTCATACTTAAAAGGAGAATCACCATAAACCTTCAGGAGTATAACTTCAGCCTATAAGCATTAGCTTCAGTCAAAGCCCCAAACCCTACATAAGAGGCAAGAGGAGAACATCACTGAGGTGAGCTTGCAAACAGATGATCCTGAATTTTTGGAGCATCCTGCTTTGCCAAGCACTTACACTTTGAAGAACCCCTAAAGCCCTCCAACAGTTGACAAACCCTACACTCCATGACTATGAGGCAATTTAAAAAAAAAAAAAAAAAAAAAAAAGACTGCCCGTACCACCCACTTATTCAAAATTATCTCCATCGTTCATCAGTAATTAGCATATTTCCACATACCCCACACAGAAAGCATCCCTAACACATTTTACACATGTTGCAGCTAAGACATCCCATTTCTGAAATCTGCCTGAGGCTAAACTGAACTTTTCCCTTGTAGGATTTGAGCCAAGACCAACCCTGTCAGCAAGTTTATTAAAAAGTCACTAATAACTGGCAGAATGAAGTGATTCTCAAATCAAGACATTTGTAACAAAAAGGTAGATTGTGCCTCTTACTAGAGAGGACCAGACCTAATCATGGCCTGAAAAACCTACAAGTACAAAATATGAGAGTAATAGCTCCCGTACTGCAAGTAGCAGTATTGCCCTGTATTATTAAGGCCGAAAATTAGATTCCTGTCGTGGATAGTGCTAGGGAAATCAAGCACTTCACATATTCTTAAAGACTGCTAGATGAGTATGTGGTGCTGAGCACCAAAACACACCACTCAAAGTATAGCACTGAATACCATTTATACAACTAAATATTTGAGAGCCAGTGGACACCACTTGGGGCAACACCCTTCTTCTCCCCCCACCCCGATGAGGCATGCTATTCAACTGAAAAAAACTCTTTTTCGCTCAGATTTATAGTGAATTTATGAGAGAGATCAATGTTAACACCTCAGGTAAAACCAGGAATGTGATGGAGTTGGTAGACATGTTTCATGATCACCTAGGATAATATCATAGTGAAAAAAGGTGGACAAGAAATCTCTGAGCCATGTAAACTGCTTGTACTCATACCTGGCTGCTGCAACTCCAGAGGCTGCTGCTGCATTTCAATGGTATTCTATGCAAACAACTTCATTAAATGTTTGGGAAGAGAGATCATATTTAAAATGAAGATATTAGATGGTGTAGGGGGCTGGAAATGAGAAAAAGATAGCCTCATTAAACTGTACAATAACTGACAATACCAGTGTTTTAAATGGTTCTCTGTATGTAATCCAACAACACTGTTACTCAGTTAAGAAACGAGATATTCCACCCCACATTCCTGGCTGAACCATTATTGAGCGCTGTAGGAAGTGAAGCTGAGTCATACTTACAACTATATTCAGTGATAAATATTTTTAAAGTTTTATCACCCTGCCTTTCATGAGGCAGTAATCTTGGTTTGTGTATGCCCCGGACATTCATGACGCTCTGTAAATCCCACGTTACAAGAGTAAATTAGTAAAGAGGAAACAGACTCTCTATGACACTTTACTGAGAACACTGCTATGATATCACACTAACCAGTATCACTATACTATACAGATACAGAGAATAAATTATTGAGATATCTATCGCAGCCAGTAAGTCTGGAACTTGATATATTACAAACACTAGTCACATACAGGAGTAAGCAACTCAAAAGAGAGAAAATACTTCCCTGAGCTCCTGCAACTGCAACAAATACATTCAAGGATTGTTATAACCCCACCACTATTGATGGTTATTCCTGCTTAAAGGTACCACACATATAATGAAGCACAGAGAGTTAAACATGAATTTAATGTGTGTCACCGAGATTCGATTGCACTTGGGTTAACAATCCTACTTATGAAATGATAGATGTTCCTGTTTTATTGTCAGACCATCAGCTCATATTGTTCCACAGCTGATTACATTACTAGAATTTCCAAGACTGGGCATAGCAAGCAGTTGGGCTGCTTAAAGGAATTGCTGCCTCTTTGATGGGACAAGGCAACTGAATTAAAAGGCTCAGAACTACTGCTTTTCATCCATCACTTTCCACAATAATACCATCAGGGTCTCCCATATCCTTGATAGCAGAGGCTGCACCATTTGATTAGACTGGAAGAACACTTCACCAAGATTTGAAAGGGAAAAAAAGGAGAGAGTTTAAGAGCTGGAGACAAAACAAAGGAAGGCTGTGAAAAGAAGACATTTCAAGATCCATTTAATCTTTATGACTATTAATATACTTAGATTAAGCCATTAGAACCACTTTTATCAAACAAATCTCAGTTGGAACTCTATTACTCTTTGGTTAGCCTTCCTCACAGATAATGTTGGTAGAATTCAAGATGTTCATTTACATTACATTGATATGACCATAACAAAGAGATGCATATTTAACTTGAAAGGTATTTTCTTCCCTTATGAAAAAAGTGTTCGTTTTCATGATTCACACCCACGAATTAAAAGTTCTCTCTCTCTGCTACATCTCCCCTCCACCCCCCTCCCAGCCCTCCCTCCTGCCCTGTCCCCAGCTCAGAAGTTAAGTTTCCATAGCTAGCCAAAAACATTTCACCAAAATCTGGCAAGAGACAGAAGCCCCTTTGTTTAATATACAAAGACATGCATCACACATGTAACCAAACCAAATATATTAATTATCCTAGAAGGGAATTCAGTAATGAAGGAGGGAGGAGGGGCGGGGAGAAAGGATATTGCTCCTAAAATCTAGCTAAGAACAGATTTAATAGTACAGTGCAGACAAATGAAAATGCTTATGTTCCTTGGCTGTAAATCTTATTTTCCCTCATAACAACAACATGACTGTTTTCAACTTCCACACCCTTAAAATTTGTTAGGGAATAATCACTCACAACTAATCCAAAAGATGTCATGAAACTATTATACCAAAAAAAAAAAAAAAAAAAAAGAGGAAGATCACTGGAAAATGGGAAAATATATTTTGAATTAAGAAATATAAAGGTAAGCATCATTCTGGAGCAGAATCTGAATTATTTTAAAGAGCTGAAACGCTGAATCCACCCTAGCAAGTCAACTAGCTACCAAATATTCCTGTCCTTCAAAAACATCAAAAGTAATATTTTAATTTTTCTACAAAGTCTAAATTTCATCATATGATAATCTTCCCAAATGCATATCAAAGTTTCCTTTAAATGTTTTATTTATATCTCTATATTCCTTAACCTCTCGAGACATTACTTTGGTCTTTCTGGATCCCTCAACGTATTCTGCAACTCCTGGAAACACTCCTAGTTCCTAGTATCCTTTCAATCAAGATATGCAGCTTGCAGTTCAAACTCAAATCATCGTGGGAGATCATTAATATCTCCACATTAACTAGAAGGCAGGGTAGAGATGCATCTTGTGTATCAACTAAATCAGAGATGCATATAAGGTGCACCTCTACCTTGGCTTCTGCCCAGCTACCCCTCTTTCCACATTAACTGACCATGTTAAATCTTTTCAGTTACATGGACCAGATCTTACACAGATCTTCTTTGCTGCAGAACTTCCATCCAACAGGATTAAAGCAATGGAGTGAACCATTCTTGCTTTACCATTAACTCCCCACTTGCATCTGGGCAATACTGGAGAAGAAAAACAGCATTTTGCATTGCTGTACTTCCGAGACTTCATATAAAATCCACACTTGAATATAAATAAGGCATTTCTATCAAGTAGTATACACCACTATTATAAACATACTGGATTCATCCTAATATGCTTGAAAAGATTACTAAAGATTCAGGTGTGACCTTACATATCATGATCTGAAAACTTTTTCAAATGCCTCTAAAGAGAACGGACCCTTTGCTAGTTTTAACACCTGAATTTCCTCCTTTATGTTTGTAAAAGAGCCTTCAATTCAAGTTATACTTAGTATACATAAAACATTATTCTATTTGCTATCTGTCTCATAAGGGTTTGCTATGAAGCCAGCGCACAAAAGAAAACATTAAAAGCCAGGCACTAGCTTTCTAGGGACGCATACACTGAACACAAAAGAAACCCCTGAAGTTTCCTATTCTTCTGACCAGACCCAGAAATTCCTTCGCTCTTCCGTGTAATATTTTTACAAATGTAAATGCAATAAAAGACTTAGGCAATGAACCAGATTAGATAAAAAAAAAAAAATTAATTTTCACATTTCAAAACAATGTCTAATAGCATCAAGAAACTTTCCCAAAAGAAAAAAAAAAGTTCAAGTTCACCGTTCCAAACAACATCAGGTTTTCCACTTCCTCTTGTGAAAAGTGCTCGCAGTACCAGTAAGATGTAGTCTACTCTCCTTCTACACACAGGACTACTTCCATTAAAAGCATTTCCTATCTTGAGATGCAGAATGTTTCTTTTTAGCTAAACATTTCCCCAAGACACTAATGTAAAAATAAACAGTTGGGGACGGAGACTAAACACAGCCTACAATTCCTCCCTATTATTTTGGAGGGGCAGACGTGGAAACAGAAGTGGTTTCCCAAATGGTAGTGTACTAGAAGAAAGTGCCACCTATGTTTAAGAGTGTTCCCAGCAGCATGAAGAACCCTTTCCCTCTTCCACTTCCATGCTTTCTTCCCTTACTACAGTCATAAAGTTAGAGATCACTGTTGTCAAACCATTCACAAAACACGGTACAAGGCAAGCTATTACAATTTGCACATCAAATGTGCATGAATGGTTTCCCTACTTCCCAGGGACAAGGGACCGAATGAAGTAAATACCCTCTGAATGTTTGGGTTCAGCTCTGGACGTTCAGAAGCAAAGTGCTTATTCAACTCAAGGGTGAATTAAAACAAATCTGAACTAAACTGCATAACCCGGACCCACTTTTTTTTTGCTCAGTTAAAACAGTACACTCCTTCCCATCCCAACAAGAGAGTCCCACCAAAAAGACACTGCCAGATGGAGCGGGGTTTTCAGCTTTGCCAGACCTTGCCAGCCTGGTTTTTTTTTTAAAGCTTGCCAACCCAGTTTGTAAAAGATGCTCTACCTCTTCCAAACTGTGTGTGGACAGTGAAAAGAGCAAATCCGGGGGGGATGACAATCCTGGTGCAACAGTTGTCACCCACTGCAGCTAGGCTGCATAAATACAAGGCAACCCGAGGCCCCTGCTTCACGACACGCCTAGGCTGGCCATCATAGAGGACCGTCCAGTTGCCCTCTGTCCTCTATCAATATGAAACCCAACGCCTTTACTTCAAAACAATAAAAATAAAAAATAGAGGGCAATTTTCTCTTCAAGAGAGAAATAGAGAACGTAAAGGCGCCCGGTTTCGTATCAACAGAGCGGCATCAAACCGGCACATCATCTACGACGGCCGCCCTCGACATACATGTCACCCCCTGGCTAGCAAACCGCGCGATACGTACAGGACCAGCCCCACGTGCAAAACAACACGCTACACACTGGCGAACAGGCACAATAAACCCCGGCCACACCTGCGAAAGCAAGTCCCGCACAATAGAAGTGACTATGCTGCTACAAAGAAAGCCGGGCAGCCGGAAAGTGGCTGCTGGAAAGCTGGTGTCAGAGGAGC